TTAGCAGGGTCTGGGCCTCATGTTTTTGGTGTGTGCCTTTTGGCGTAGATAATTTGTCCAAGTTGCGTGTGTTGACGGCAAGTCCTTGGAGCCGGGCTCTGGGGTCTCGGGTGCTAGGCTTTGGCAAGGGGAGAAATGGGTGGCTTTTCCTTGCTTCAGCAGTTCGTTCGGCAGGTCTTTTTTTTTTTTTTTGGTTGAAGACAGGCTAGACCTTCGGTAGGGTTGATTTAAAATTAGCATGTGAGCCTCCCACAAAGTCAGCATGACCCCTGCCGTTCGGCAAGGGGCTGAGAACAATGGGTTTGGGTGTTTTTTGGCAAAGAGGCTTGGCTTTCCAAGCCTTGGCATGTCTTGGGCACTTGGGCTTTTAGTATTGGAGAGGTATGTCCATCTTGGGCCTTTGGCAGGGCTTCAAGAATAGAGGGATAGGGGCTAGGGTTCAATATTGTGTGGGTATAAACAACTGTCTTTTTTTTTTTTTTTTTTTTTGTGGTTGCCGTTCGGCAGTTTTGTTGAGCTGTGCAAGAGTGGTCTGGGTCCTTGGAAAAGCTGGCGTTTCGACTGTGATTCCACGGGTGTGCCATTTGATAGCTTACATGAAGAGGGGATCCTTCGAAGCCTCCCTCCCTTCTGCATGCTTGGGGCTTGACTTGGGACCGGCAGCCTTGGGTGGGTTGAGGAGTTTTCTTTGTTGTGAGCTTCCCATATATCGTTTCATGGGCCTTGCCGGCAAGGCCATCTGGAGTATACTCAAGATGCTTTTGTTGGATCGTTGGCAGGTTGTTCTTGGATTTGGAGCAGCTTGAGAATGGAGTTGAGCCTTGAAGCTGGACCATGAGCTTGGTTCGGCAAGGAGATCCGTGAGCCGGGATTTTTTATGATTTCCCAAGCTTCAGCAAGGCTGATTTGAAGAGGGTAGGGCTGCTCGAGCTTAGAGGAATTCTTGGGAGGCCAATTTTTGCACAGCTAGGCCCTTGTCGTTCGGCAAGGGATTTAGGATTTGCTGAGCTCGGGCTGCTGGGCACATTCGGCAATTTTGGATATTTCGGTAGCACCGATTCGGCAAAGAGGCTGGGCTCTTTGGATTGGTGAGAGGGTCTGTGGTGTGTTCGATGAGTTGGCAATTTTGTGGGAGAAGGTTGGGCATCTTGAGCTGGTCTTAGTTGCTATCAGCAAGGAAATCCTCCGTGAGCTTTCCTCTATCAGATTTTCACGGCCTTTGCAATTTGAATCTTTTGGTAAGGTTTGTCTAATACTAATATGATTTTGGATGACCTTGTGGCAGATTTATCGTGAATTTAGGGCTGGGCTAAGAGGTGGCTGCGACCTTGAAGGATTCGGTAAAAGGTCGAAGCTGTTTGATCATCCGGGGCTTCCTACAGCTTTGGTAGGTATCTTATTATTCTTCGCGAGTGAGATGACTAAGGTCTTTTGTGAGTTTGAGCTTCGGCAAGAAGCTTGGAACTGAAACACTTTTTGCTAGGAGTTGGGTCCGATTGTGATTTGTGAGGGGGGACACTTTAGAGGCTGGGCCTTTCCCCCTTTTTTGTTTTTTGTTTTTAAGCGTAACCGGGCCTTGGAGTAGCCGGAACGTCATTAAGGTGAGTAATTTTTTTTGAGTGCCATCAATCTCTTCTCCATGCTGCTTGCCGTTCAGCAATTCCAAGTTGGACCCATTTTTGATAGATGTTGGATCTTCAATTTAGTGGCTGTTTAGACCTTGAACTGGAGCTGAAATTTGGAGCTGGGTCTGTGGTAGGAAATAGCTGGGTTTGAGCAAATTGTGAAGGGTGGCCTGAGCCTGCATCTGGGCCGGGTTTAAGCAGGTTTCTGCTGAGGCACCGTGGGTTCTGACCCCTTACTGTTACAGCTCGACTTGGGCTTGGTGCAAGGCTAAGGCAAGTTGAAAATTTTGGTGAGTCCCCTTGTTGCTTCTGCATGGGCCTTGCCATTCGGCAAGGTCCATTTGTTTTCCCTTTCTGTTTTTTTTTTTTTTTTTCTGTTAAGTTGAAATTTGGATTTCAAATTGATGCAGGTACAAGGGGTATGAGAGGGAAACTGAAAGGGTGCTAGGGTTTTTTGTGTACCCTAGGGTTTTTATAAATAGGAGCTTGGGGTTACGAAGGCCTCACACTTGGAGAGTTCTGAGAGAAATTTCCAGAGTGAGAAGGAGAAAAAAGATTTCTGGCAAGATTTGGTGGTGGTGCTTGTGGCCAAGGTGATTTCCGACGTCATTCCGTGGTGGTGCAAACAAGGTTAGACCTCATTTCCCTTGAACTTTTGAATTGGAATCCTGCTTTTGGTCTGAACATGTTGAAGAATAGGATGAACACCTTGAGCATTGGTATGAACATGATGAACACTTTGAACATTGGGGTGAACTTGTTGAATGTCTGCATCTAGATCAAAAAGCATTTAGATGCCATCCAAATTTGTGTTCTTATGTTTGGATCCTCCTTGCATGTGCATTAGTTCCTTTTCTTGTTTCTGCAAATTGTAGATGTCTGAAAGTTCTGATAAAGAAAGTCCTGACCCCCTTGCCTTTGGTGGGGATGATACTGAGAGTGAAGAGGCCAGTGAATATGTTTGTTCTGAAGATGAGAATTCCCAGACAGAGGGTTTGGTAGAAGGGCTTGTAGAAGCTAGGATGGTAGTTCATGAGGGTGAGATGGTTGGGCCATCAGTAGAGTCTGGGTCAGAGGCATATAGGGAGATGCAGAAGAAGTATAAAGTGTTAGAGGCCAGTGTTGATCGGGTTCTAGCCTTGGCACATACACCGGAGGTGGGCTCGAGCAATCAGACATCACCATCAGGGTCTGTGGGTATAGTCGTGGCTTCAGCTTCAGAAGGGGTGGACATCCGGCTTGGTGTCCCTTTGGCGAAGCGGAATACACTTACAGAAGTAAAGTTGACTAAGCTTCGGATAGATTATAGGGTGCCTCCATATGTGGGCCTGAGGTTACCCAGTGCTGCGGATGTAGTGAGATATCCTCCGGAGGGTTCAGTTATGATCTTCACGGATATGTACCAGCATGGCCTCAGACTACCGTTTCATCCTTGGGTACAGATGATGTTGGCCAAGTTGGGATATGCGCCGAGGCAATACAATCCCAACTTCTGGCTGCTTCTGCATGGAGTTTATATTGCTTGGTGGTTGGTTACGTTGGGGGAGCCAACATTTGAGCAATTTATGTACTTGTATTCGATCTCCAAGCAACAGGGAACCTTTGGCTGGGTACAAGCCAATTGCCGGAAGGCAAAAAAGAGGGGTTACTTTATCAGGCATAAGCCCAGTACTCATAAATCTTGGAGGAACAGATGGTGTTTGGCCTATGTGATTGGGAGTGTCCTCCAGGGAAGACCGTCTCTAGACACATTCCTACCCATTTTCAGTCTATAGGTCCTTAGCCCCATCCCTTAAGATTGGTTGTTTTGTAGTGTTTTTATCTGTGCTTTGACTATTGGGTCTTCATTTTTGCGTGTGCAAGTGTAAATGGCCGAGTTGTATCTAACCTTTGGTGCAGGTTCGATGAAGTGGGGACCGATCTCCAGGGAGCGAGAGAACGAGGTTGAGAGGGTGAGGTCACTATTGTCGGAGACCCAATGCGAGTGCAAAAACCTAGTCACCCAGAAAAACCTGTACGAGTCCGGACTCTTGCAAGGGAGTAAGTACCTGGGTCACTGTTGTTGTTTGTCTTATGATTCTTTTTGCAATTGGGACTAACCTAGCTTTTGATGTGCAGTGGTAGGTATCATAAAGAGCAGCACGAAGGTGGCTATGGATCTGGATGAACCCGAGATGCAAAAACGGCTGAGGGAGTCTCGGGCCAAGAAGGTGGAGAAGGAAGGTGCTCAGCAGGCGACGGGTAAGCAGCCTAGAGATCATGAAGGCCTGGTTGCCGATGCGCTGGGAAAGAAGAGAGTGCTGGAGGAAGCTCACAGAAGTGTGATAAGGACAGGGCCGAGGCTTCCTCCCTTTGACCTGTAGGCGCCGCCGAAGCTCCCATTCGGTATGGAGGACGTTCATGCCGAGGGGGTGAAAAGGCGCAATGAGATGGCCAAGGACAAGATAGTAGAGGCGCATGAAGCCATCTAAGAGAAGAACACCCTGGTGCTGCAGAAAGCGGCGATGGTTAAGGAGATGGAAGAGCTTAAGCGGTCGAGGGCTGAAGAGGTAGCTGCTGCCCGAGCTGAAGCGATTGAGTCATTTCGGGGTTCAGAGGAGCTGAGGAGCTACATCATGGATCAGATGGTGGCGATGCAGCTATGTTGGGAGGAGAGGGTGGCGAGGTTCAACCCTTCGGTGGAGATTAACTTTGACACGAGTGGCGAGCCTCATTCACCTAGTCCTAGCACTGATGCCGCTCCAGAGCCAGAGCCAGAGCATAGCCATAGCCAGAGCCAGCCACGACGGATGCCCCTTCCACCGAGTCTTGAAGGCGTTGCCTTCTTTATGTACTGCAGTTGTTTATGTAAAACACTTGATGTTTATTTATGTTATGTATGGACATATTGCCTTGCCCAGGGCAAGGTTATTTTCCTTTGCTATGATATCAGACTTGTTGTCATTTGATATCAATTATGCTAGCAAAATGATAATTATGTGATTGATGAGAAGTAGCCAGAGTCAAGCGTTTCATTAAGTAGGTGTCGAAGGGCAGAAGGTACAGAGTCATGGCTCAAAAGCAAAGTATAAGAAAACATAATGTCCTAGGGTCTAGGTATGTTTACTTATTGAAGTATTTGAGATAAGCAGCGTTCCAAGGATGTGGCAAGGTTTTGCCCTTGGGATCGCGAAGCTGATATGCGCCGGGTCGGCAGACTTTGGTAACCTCATAGAGGCCTTCCCATGTAGGGCCTAAGGTACCTTCAATGAGATTCTTGGTGGCCAAGGAAACCTTACGCATGACCCAGTCCCCAAGTTTGAAAGCACGGGGCTTGACTCGGGAGTCATAGTACCTAGCGATGCACTGTTTGTACGCGACATTGTACACGTTGGATTAGTTCCGAAGCTCATCAATGAAATCAAGGTTCAGGGCTAGCTGCTCGTCATTGACTTCGGCCTCATAAGTGGAGGTTTGGTATGTGGGCTGGCCAATTTCCACTGGTGCCATGGCTTCAGTACCAAAGGAAAGAGAGAACGGTGTTTCTCCTGTTGAGGTACGGAAGGTGGTGCGGTAGGACCAGAGAACCTCTAGGAGAAGCTCTGGCCAGCAACCCTTAGCTTTGTCAAGCTTGGTTTTTAGAGTTTTCTTGATGATCTTATTCACGGCTTCCACCTGGCCATTAGACTGAGGATGGGCTGGGGAGGCGAAGCAAAGATGTATCTTGAGGTTGGAACAAAATTGTTTGCACTTGACATTGTCAAATTGTCGGTCATTGTCGGTGACGATGGTGTTGGGGATGCCAAAGCGACATACGATATTTTGCCAAACAAAAGTTTCAATGCGGGCTGCAGTGATGGTGGCCAAGGCTTCGGCCTCAGCCCACTTGGTGAAGTAGTCCACAGCTACAACTGCATACTTGACTTAGCCCTTGCCCTCAGGCATAGGTCCAATGAGGTCAAGTCCCTATTGGGCGAATGGCCAAGGACTGACCATGGCTGTCAATGGCTCAGCTGGAAGTTGTGGGATGTTGGTAAATCGCTGACACTTATCGCACTTCTGGGTGAAGGCCTGGGCATCAGTGTGAAGTGATGGCCAAAAGTATCCCTGCCGAATGACCTTGTGTGCTAGGGAGCGAGCGCCTGAGTGGTTGCCGCAGATACCCTAATGAATCCCCATTAGGACGTAGGTACCTTCCTCTCAGACACCGAAGGTAAGGTAAGCTGAAGCCGCGCTTGTATATGGCGTCATTGATGATCAAATATCGAGCGGAACGATAGCGAACACGCCGCGCTTCCGCAGGATCAGCAGGTAGTGTCTGGTTCTGCAAGAACTGAGTGATGGGGTCCGTCCATGTAAGGCTGTGATCGATGACACAGATGAGTGGTGCCCGTGTGCTGGGCTGGGCCAAGAACTCGATGTGGATGTTACGACCTATGCCCTGCTCCAAGGCCGAGGCTAGCCTTGCTAATGCATCAGCATGGCTGTTCTTAGAGCATGGCATCTGGCTTATAAGATGAGCGTCGAAAGTTCCAAGCAAGTGGCGGGTATGTTGGAGGTACGCTGTCATGGAGATGTCCTTGGCCGTGAAGTCCTGTTTGACTTGATGGACAACAAGCTGTGAGTCGCTGAATATCTGAATTTGCTTGGTGCCCATCTCCTTTGCTAGTCGAAGGCCAGCTAGGAGTGCTTCGTATTCGGCCTCATTGTTGGAGGTGTGGAATTTGAAGTGGAAGGCGTACTCAAGGACAACCTTGTCTGGGAAGAGGAGAACGAGGCCGGCCCCACATCCTTGGGCATTGGAGGAGCCATCCACATATAAGGTCCACAAGGGCTGGGTCAAGTCAAGGTTGCCATTGTTGGCGACGTGGAGCTGGCTCGGAGGAACACTAGGTTTGGTTATGACCTGGGTAGAGGTCGAAGCTCGGGGATCTGTGAATTCTGATATGAAGTCAGCAACCTCTTGGCCCTTTGTAGCTGGGCGGGGTTTGTAGTGGATATCAAATTCACCAAGTTCAATGGCACAATTAACCAATCTCCCAGAAGTCTCTGGCTTCTGCAACACTTGCCTGAGCGGTTGGTTGGTTAAGATATGTATGGTGTGAGCTTGAAAGTATGGTCGGAGGCGTCTAGCCGAGACTACCAGTGCGAAAGCAAGTTTCTCAATGTCTGGGTACCGAGCCTCCGCATCTTGCAATCCTTTGCTCACATAGTGCACCAGATGCTCAGCACCTTCGTGTGGTCGAATGAGCACTGAGCTAACTGCTGTAGCCAAGACAGAGAGATAGATGGTAAGGACGTCCCCAAACTCAGGGGTTGACAATAGAGGAGCTCGGCTCATGTATGCCTTGAGCTTGCCGAAGGCCTGGTCACATTCGGCATTCTAGGTAATGCTGCGTTTACTACCCCTAAGTGCCTCGAAGAATGGGACACGGTCGGTAAGGCTCTGAATGTCCTTGACCGTCTTGGGTATCATCATATCTAAAATGGCCGGGATCTTCTCTGGGTTGGCCTCAATACCCCTTTGGCTGATCATGAAGCCAAGGAATTTGCCGGAAACCACCCTAAATGCACACTTGGTGGTGCTGAGCCTCATCCGATACTGCTTCAAAATTGTGAACATGGCAGAGAGGTTGGGGATGTGCTGGTCAGCAGTGCGACTCTTGACAAGCATGTCATCAACATAAACCTCCATGGTGTTACCAATCAGTGGAGCGAAGATGCTGTTCACCAGACACTGATACGTAGCCCCAGCGTTCTTGAGGCCGAAGGGCATGACTATGTAGCAGTAAAGGCCACGGTTAGTGATGAAGGATGTATAAGCTTGGTCCTCAGGGTGCATGAAGATCTGGTTGTACCCTGAGTAAGCATCCATGAAGCTAAGGAGGGCGTGGCTAGTTGTGGCGTCAACTAGCTGGTCAATGCGGGGTAGGGGAAACTATCCTTTGGGCAGGCCCGGTTGAGATTTGTGTAGTCCATGCACATGCGCCAGCCCTTCTTTGGTTTACGTACCATTACCACATTAGCTAGCCAGGTGGGATAATCCACCTACTTGATGAATCCAATGGTGCTCAGCTTATCCACCTCCGCCTTCATGGCCTCATACCGCTCTGGGTCATAAGCACGACGCTTCTGTCGAATGAGTCGGACGACAGGATTAATGCTTAGACTATGAGAGATGACGTCAGGTGATATGCCCGGTATATCGTTGTAAGACCAAGCAAAGACCTCAGAGTTGAGGCGGAGGAAGGCGACAAAATCATAGCAAAGCTCTTGTGAGAGGGAGGTGCCGATCCTGACCTGTCGATCCGGGATGTCCTCATAGAGAGTGACCAGTTCGAGGTCCTCCACAAGTTCGGCCTGTTGGGTGACAGATTCCTCCCTAGGGTCTTCTGGGCGCTCAGTGCCAGCTCAAGGTGGGGCTAGGGCCTGGGTTACCGCTAGGGCCTCACCCCTATGTTGGCGATTGGTAGACTTCACTGTCGAAGTATAGCAGCTTCAGGCGCCAAGTTGGTCGCCCCGTGCCATGGGCCATCGCAGGGCGCCCAAGGATGACGTTGTAGGCTGTGGGGCAATCAATAATGAGGAAGGGAGTGGTGACCGTCGTCCGCTGGGGTGATGCTCCAATAGAGATAGGGAGATGAATGCTCCCAATAGGCTGGACCACATTGCCCGAAAAACTCACTAGGGGTGTGACGCTTCGGTCAAGCAAATGAGATGGGACCTGGAGCTCGTTGAAGGCATCAGCAAACATCACACTGACCGAGCTACCAGTGTCTACCAAGATGCACCCAACGTCGAAATTAGAGATGTCGGCGCGGATAATGATTGGGTCATCATGAGGGAGAATAACGTCACGCTCCTCCTCCTCACAGAAGGTAATGGGGGCCCAACTTGTTTTTTGTGTCTTCGGCAGGCATCCCTGCTAAGTGCTGAAGACCTGATGCTCATAGGTGGAGCGGACATAATCTTTGATGGAGTTGCTGGAGGTTCCAGCCATGGTAGGGCCTCCACTGATGGTTGAGATCATGTTGATCGGCCGTTGGTGGGGGTGGGAGGTTGCGCACGTATTTATCCAGCTTCCCCTCACGAATAAGTCCTTCAATGATGTTGCACAAGGCAACACAAGATTCGGTATCATGGCCACCAAACTGATGAAAGAGACAGAAGACACCTGCGTTAGGCATAGGCTTGCTGCCTGATTTCCGGGGTGGAGGCTGGGGTATGATAGGTGCCTCGTGCACCAGGACATTCTCATAGGTAGTGTTTAGGGTGGTGAAGACCTCGAACCTGGGTTTGGGTGAGAATGAGAGTGGGTCCCGGTCATTTGTCACGGGGGGTTGTTTCCACTAGACTGGTGGTGATTGCCATGTCTGCCCTGCTTGTTATTGCTGAAGGTATGCTGGTAGCTATCCTTCCTCTTGGGGTGTTAGGCACCCTGGGTGCTTGGTGTAGGGGCAGAATGTTGAGGTAGAGCTAGGATGGGTACTAAAGCAGGTAGAGGATCAGCAAAAGGATTACACGCGGGGGTGGCTGGGCTGTGCTTGGAGTTGAAGTACTCAGCCTTGGCATGAACTGCTGCCTGCTTCATTAGTTCAGCATATGTGTTCCATGGGTTGCTGTGGACTAGGTACCAGAAGTTGGACTCTCGGAGGCCACTCTTGAAAGCACCGAAGGCAGCGCGGTCATCAGTCTCTGGGCAGCGGGAGTATTCATGGCTGAACCTGGCTGCATACTCCCGAAAGGTCTCGTCCTCACCCTGTCGAAGCATGTACAGGTCGTCTGCGGAGTAGAAGCGATCAGTCTGGATCATGAAATGATCCAGAAAGGCCTGTTTTAGAGTGTCAAATGTGTTGATGGTGCAGGGGTTCAGCCTGTAGAACCAATTTAGGGCCGCGCCACTGAGAGTTGAAGGGAAGAGGAGGCACATGCCTTCGTCAGTGAGGCCCTTGCACCCCAGGACAGACTGGAAAGAATGTATGTGGGTGAGATGATCCTCCGTGCCAGTGTTGAAGGCGATGCGGAGTGGCTGGATGTCCTTCTCCTGGTGGTAATTAAGGATGCGTTTGGTAAAGGGCCCAGGTCGTGGCTTTGCCCAGAGGGGTTGGTGGTTGCGCTGTTGCTCGCTCTCCAGGCGCCGGACTTTCTCAAAGAGAAGCCTCATTGTCGGGTCGGTATGAGGGAGAATCTCCGGTGCTGGAGGTCTGGTGTATGGGTGGCCATGGGCTGGATAAAGTTCTTCGAATGTCTCATTGTGATAAGACTCGTAGTCTTCTAAGTAATCCTGCCCCTAGTTCTCCGAGTCCCCTATACCTTCTCCAAGGGGTAAGTGGGTAGGTTTTGGCGGGGGGCCTAGGTGTGTCACCTTTGGATCTTGGAGATTAACGGGGATAAGAGGGGGTTCCGTTTGACGGTCCAGGATACGGTCCCTGCAATCCCTGTAGACCTTTGTTGGTTCATGGAGTCGGTTCCTCGGTGGGGAGATGCGGAGGAGCCGAGACTTGGTCGCCTCCGGATGGAGAGGGCCTTTACCCTTGCTGGGCTTAGGCTGGTTTGGCTGGGTACGCTCAAGTTCCTGGGTAAGGCTACGTTGGGAGCCCTGGGCCTGATTCATCTCCCAGTTACGCTTCAGTGTGCGGTAGTCATGCTCGAGCTCGACGTTCTTAGCATGAAGATGGTCATATTTCTCGGACATCTTGGTGATACTAGCGCGGAGGCTCTCCAGTTCTGCCTGGAGATTGGCATCTGCTGAAGGTCTCCTTTGGAAAGTACCCCCATGGGGGGTATGGTGCTGAGTCCCGTGGCTATCCTCCATAGGCATAGCTGATAGGAAAAGGACCGGATAGGAAAAGGAGCCAGCTGGGCTAGTAGAGAAAAATGGGTTTCAAGTATCGATTCTCACAGACGGCGCCAAACTGTTGATGCTCTTTTTGGGAGGTCAAGTTAGGTAGATGTAGATTGTCTTCAGCAGGGGAAGGGTTTGGACCTTCAATAAGGGACTAGCCTGCGGAAGACAAAATAGGAGCTTCGGGCATCGGTGTGGTGCCGGCCAAAGGCTCTCCAATGCTTAAGTCAGCTAAGAGTGGTAACTTTAGCAGAGTAACAGTAAAAGGTAAGAAAGTAGTTACCCTTTTTACTAGGGTATTGTTCCCTATTTATAGGGAAGTGAAAGTGGAAGGTTTGTGTAGATTTCCGATGTGGGACTTTGTGCAAGTCGATGTGGTGGTGACACGTGTCATGGAGATTAGGTTTGGCAGTTTGTGAGCTTCGGCAGTCCGGAGCTTCAGCAGGTGTCTGGCACCTTGGAAGAGTGTCTTCCTTCGGCACGGGAGAAGGCGTGTCTGCCTTAGTGCTAGTTCTTTTGAGGCTGGATATGCTAGGTTGATTATGGTGTAAACAGAATTCATTGAGAAGAATATCATCCATCGATTTAGCTTGCCCGAGTCCATCATGATCGACCGAGTGTTTGTCTGTCGCAAATCTCGCAGCCTGGTGCTCCGGGCGGAGGGGATGCGCGTCAACACGTGACGTCCTTCTTTTGCGTTCCACTCCTAATCAAACGATTGTGGCCGAGTGAGGAATGAATCTCGGCCGTCAGGTTCACGGCCTGAGCTACAAGGCTGTTTAGTGGTGGTGTTGGTGGCATGTTTTAGGTGGTGCTCCGGCGCGATGCTCAGAGAGTGACGGTCGTATGATATATGGGGTGAGTGAGGCGATAACAGAGATAATGCTCCGGCGCCTTGAAAATCAAGGGTCGTATGATATATTGATGGATGGATTTTCCTTACAGTCTACCACTACACCTAAGAAAGCAAATAAATGTATTGAAAGTGCATTACAGGAAAATATAATTTGCTTCGTGGGAGGCTTTTGGTTTTGGTGTTTGAATTCTTTGAACGTAGTCCTGAGCTTAGTATTTATAGGAGTCCTGGAGGGACATTCGAGGCTGACAAGACCTGCATGGTGGAGCCTGACCGGGGCAAGTGGGTAGTCAAATCGGCATTTGGGATCGTGAAGTATGGTGGTCTGGGGTTGAGAAGCATGGTGGTGTGACCCCCATAAATCTCGGCAAATCTCGGCCACCGCCTTGATCGTGGGTTCTGCCCCCTTGGCCGTGGGAACGCATTTAATGCCCTGGACTAGTGGTTGATGATCTGACCCTCAGTCGTAAGATTACTTGTGAGAATGTCTGCGCCTAACCACCCTGATTCCCATCACTAAATCCTGACTTCAGTCACTTCCCTTGTGCATTGAATGCTTCTTGTGACTAGTGGGTTTTGCTACGAAGTCAGAGGCATTACTTCATTAAATGGAGCGTGGGGCCCTGAGGCCACGTGGCGA